CACTATTTGCTTTCTTTCCTCTAATCTCCCAAACTCTAACAGATTCCACTCCTTGATTTTGCCTTTCAGATATTGGAGCTTCTTATGAAACCTCATTCCACTCCATTTCACTGTTGGATTGCTTTCTAGCCACCACTCTTTGACTTTCTTTATGAACCCCGGGTGTCCTAGCCACATGTTTTCAAACCTAAAGGGAGCAGGACCAGCACTTCTCACTTCCTCCCTATAGATTACAATAGGCCAATGGTCAGGAGTCACCCTTGGATATGCTCTAGAGTTTAGATTCCCCCAATGTTCTTCCCAATCATTTGAGAATAGAAATTTATCCAGCTTAGAGCAATCGGGTTCACTTGGAGATTGGACCAAGTAAAACAGCTATGTGATAGTGGGGTCTCTTTAAGCTCGTAAACATCCACAAATTGATTGAATTTTCTCATACTCAAGGTCGACATCCGCCTCGGACTATTTGTCTCTTCCAGAAATCTTATAACATTAAAGTCACCTCCAAGACTCCAAGGCCCTTCCCATAGTCCCCTTGTATCAGCCAGTTCTTCCCACAACTTCCTTCTCTCTCTGTAATCATTTGGACCATATACATTGGTAAGCACCCATTCAAACCCATCCTCCACTTGTTTAAACTTCAAGGAAATTGAAAATTGGCCTATTAACTCTTCCTGACCTATGAGTACTTCATTCTTCCACATTGTGACAGCACCCCCCACAAACCCCCAAGAAGGCAAAGCCGCCCAGCTAAATCCCCTTGCCTCTCCAGACACTCCTTGCCAACCTAATGTCAAAATCTGCTCTCTTGGTCTCCTGCAAAAGTACCACATCTGGGTCTGTTTTCTTGATGGCCTCTTTTATTACTGCTCTCTTCCTAGCACTTCCCAAACCTCTGATATTCCAGCTTAAGATCCTCATCTAACTATCTTCTTTCCCCTTAGACCCTCCTGCCCTCAGTTATTCCTCTTCCTTCTTTCTCCTTTAACCTTCAAACCTCTATCTCCTCCCACTCCTTTAGCAGCCTTTCAGCCTCACTCATTCTTCTCCTTTTAGATTTTACTTCTTTCTTTGTTTTCAAAAATACTTTGAGAGCATTTGGATCTTTCAATTTGCACCCCAGTTTCTGTACAAAACCCGCCTCGGAATCCTCTCTAATTACATCTCTTACACTTGACTTTCTACTTCCCTCCCCTGTTTTTGTCTCCTCCCTTCTATCTCCTTCCTCCTCAGAACCCTCTACTCTAACTCCCTCTGACCCTTCCTTCTGACTGTTTTCCACCACTGCTTTATTTAACAGACACTCTAGGATTTCCAGGATTCTTTTCTTTTTTTCTGTTTCTCCTTCATTCCCTACTTCTCTCTCCTGACCCTCATTGTCGCTTCTATTTTCTCTCACCCCATCCCCTCCTTCAAGGGCTGCAGCCTCTGGGTTGGGATCTGTATTTGGCACGGAAGTCAAAAAGCAGCAGTTTGTATCACAAAACGAAAGGACACGCCACCTGGGTTGTGGTGGGGAAGATTGGGAGTGCTGGAGTTGGATACAGAAACAGTCTGGCCCTGACAAGGAATGTGGGTTCCATCTGGTTCCAAGGCTCGGTTCTGATTAGTTAGCCTTTCCGTCACCTCTGTTAAACAGAGATCACATCTCTTACCCACCTGTTTATGCCTCCTCACCGTGAAAATCCCTATTTGGGAGGGGCGGACTGGATAATTTTTAAACTTATAACATAATTCAAGATAACATAATTTTTAAACTTATAAACTTATTACATAATTCTATTCGGCATAATTAGGTTATCCATGTCTCATGGATTATTAACTGATATGAACACATACAGCTAATCAGTTCACCAGTGGACTATGGCATCTCGTTGTTGGTGAGTGTTCACTATTCAGTTTTGCACCCATTCCTTGGTGACATGCTCTTCTGATCTAAGATTAAAGAATTGAATGAATATTCAAATAAAAGAATTGAATGCTTGATCTTTGATCTTAATGGAATCCCTGCCATTTTATCCCTTTGATTAAGAAACCTAAGCATGAGCAGGTTGAACCTACTTGTAGTACTATTACTCCCATTTCCCTCTACTTTTTAATTTTGTTTTCTTTCTGCTTATGTCATGTTTTCTTTTTATCAGGTAGGAGCATCAGTTGCCTATGATGCTACCAGCATGAACGAACTGAGGAAATGGAACGAACAGTATGGAGAAGGTGGAAGCAGGAGAAAATCACCATTTGGCTTTGGCAACTAACTTTGTAATTTTTGGTTCTTATTTATTCACTAATGCGCCTGTGTTACCCTTGGAATCTCTCTTTGTACCTTTCTAAGCTCAAAGAGAAAAAAACCCTGTAATATAGCGTTTTACATGTAGTTCATCATCCCAAAATTTTGGCATTAAACGATTCATGTGTATATTAAATTAAACATGCTTAATAAGAAATTTAGTCGATCTTCGAAATTTAGTTTATTTGTAATGGTAAAATCCCAGGCTTAATAAGAAATTCGTATTAGCTGTTCATAAACTTATGGGCCCCACTGTAAAAGATGCGGGCCCCTTGTATTTAATACTGGCGTGGAACCTTATCATTGTTCCACAGCCAGCTGAACAGCTAAAGCGTTCAAACCTTGTTCTTCTAGACCGCCCCTCCCAAGAACCCAGGTAGCTGGAGCCAATATTGGATAATAGCCTTTTTTTTTATTTCATATTTATTTTGCACTCTGCACGGCTAAGCCCCGAGACCACGAGGTGCTGCCACCACCTGATATTTGACTGGTCCTTACAAGAATTTTTATGATCCTCAAGTCTTTCTAATTTGTGGATTAAATCATTAAATCGTGCCGGCTTCTGGTGGAAAGGAAATCCATCTAATGGTTGCCCAAGATCATTAGATCAAGCACCCAGTTTCTTGCGTGTGGTAAGCCCCACCAATTAGTATATGCATTTTTCTGGTAAATGGACTAAATCATTTCAACTAGTTCATGTAATATGAAGAAGGCTTGTATCGAGTCTGGTAGTAACAATTGAGGACAATTTTACAGAGGATGAGGAACCCGCAATTGACACCCGTCCAACTCTGCAGAAAATCGCGTTTCACAGTTCTGGCTTCTCAGCCATAGCTGCTGGGAACCCGCAATTGACGCCCATGTGCAACCCTGCAGGAAATTGCGTTTCACAGTGCCAGCATCTCAGCCATAGCTGCTGCCACCTTAACATAAAAATATCCACTGAGCATGTATTTCATTCCCTATAATATAGACATTGGTTCAATGTCGGGCTTTGGTCTGGCCAGTTAACCTTTACATGAGGGGTTGGATATACAATGGTGGATTGGGGTCAAGCAATAAAGAATGGTATCCATCAATTCCAACGTTTTGCATTCTTCAACCCTTTTGATTTAGCTTTTGCCTGCTGAAATGCCATCATTCTCTGCTTCTTTCGAGCTTCTTTCTCTGCCTGTTATACATGAAGAAATTCAGAATTTTCCCCATAGTTTCCCTTCATGGACTAATGCATATTTTCTAATTCCCGTTTTAATTTCTAGTTTACAGATAATAATGATTGAAACATGTACCTTTGACATCTTAGACTTGGCTTTTACTTTAGGAGCCTTCTCCTCAAGCTCTGCCTCACGTTGGAGCTCCCTTTCTCTAGCATCAAGGTTCTTCTCTAGATAATACTGTAAAATTTTAAATATAGTGTCAAATGAATTTGTACTTAGTATAAGAAAGTAAGAAACCCAGTAAAGATTCCAATCATACATCGAAAATGTATATGGGTTTCTTACACAAAACTTCATACCATCAATCAGTAAGAGGCCATTTGATAATAGCTGAAGTGGCTTATCACTTTGTCTTTTAGCTTCAGCCATTAGTTAAGGATCCTACAAGCTCCTGAATAACTTGTTGACCAGAAAGTAAATCAACAAGTAATTCAATTCAGCTGTTCTCAAATGGCCTAGGTCTTGCCAAGTAGACCTTTTGGGTTAAATAAAAAACCAATCACTGGATGCTTATAACCCCATCAGATCCATATTTTTTTCAGACTTTCATCCTCCACATCAACAACACACTGCAATTAGGATGCTCTTTTCTCTCAAAAAGAATTAAGACACTCTAACTAGGTGGCTCTTGGTAGAGCAAAATGGCAGGATAGGATTTCTGTGGCTGACCACAAATAGTTGGGGTTAAGGCTGAGTTGATTTGAGGATACTATAAACCTATTGGATACATTGCATATGCCCACATTCACCACAAATGCAGTAGTTGGAACAGCCTTTCCCATCCGGACATGAGAATTGCTTAGAAACATATGACAACTGCAATTTTTAAAGGAATTCCTTGGAACATATCAGACTTACATTGTAATCACCCGCATAATCTTGTAATGTGTTGTCCTTAACCTCTACCACTCTGTTAACTATTTGCTTTATGAAATATCGATCATGAGAAACTGTGATGACAGTTCCCTTGTACTCTGCTATTGCTTCCTGTTAAAGCACCAAGCTGTTATAATATTATAGGGGAATACTAGATTAAAAAAGGAACTTTGGAGGATGTTCAGCTGAAGTCATACCTCAAGCATCTCCTTTGATGGGATATCCAGATGATTGGTTGGTTCATCCAGAACCAACAATGTTGATGGCTTCACCATGAATTTGCAAAAGGCAAGACGAGCCTACCCAGACAGAATGAAAAAAGAATTGTTTTGAATAAGAAAATTGGCTCAATAAGATTTGCAGGTACAAGTCATGATCATGAGCCCATTATCTGACAATAGGTACTATCAAGATTATGAAGACACCAAAATTACAACAATGAACAATTTCATAGATGAGCGGTCAGAAGTGTTGCAAAGAACGTTGCCATCAACAGCTATCATGAATCTACTTTATTCATTGACTTGCAAAATAGCATAGGCAATAATTAAATCATTACTAACCCACAAAAAATGTGGAGAAAAAAAGTCTCCCTCTCTCTGGTTTAAGCTTATCCATTAGAGTTTTAAAAACATGCAATAAAAATAAAATGAAAATTAAGAACATAAATAAATGCGGCTACATAAGTACATAATAAAACATGTATTTCTTTTCAAGGAAAAACTGTATGGTCAAGCTTCACAGAAAGCTTCATGGTAATTGCACACCATGCATCTTATCAAAGATATCTCAATACATATTTGGCATTGATGATTATTGTTTCCCATTGAAACTAAATGTTATAAAACCGAAAAGCCAAATGCATGATAATTAATAGAAAACAAAACTAGGATTGAGCAGTTAAAACGCTGGTTAATGAATATTAATACAAAACCAAAGGTAATTAAAATGACAGATGAGTTGGCTAAATCAAAAAAGAAATGCACATATAAGGAACAAGATTTACAAAATGGAAAGCATATGTCCACAATGGAGAAAGCCAAGCTTATTCCTGCATCATTAAGAGAGTATTGTACCAAATGTGCTAAAAGGTAATTAGTCTACCAAACAAGACATATATCTTAAAATCCAATAAACCAAGTTTCATAAAGTAGAATTTGTACTAAATTTTCTAAACGAAAATTACTTCACTGCACAAGACGAATATATAAAGGGCAGCCTAGTGCACAAGGCTCTCGCCAATGTGGGATCTGGGGAGGGACAGATGAATCCAGCCTTACCCCTGCAGATACACAGAGAGGCTTTTTCCAAGATTTGAACCCTGGTCACCCAGGTTAAAATGGAGCAACACAACTGTTGCGCCAAGGCCCACCGTCATTGGGTTTGACCTACGTAATCACATTTTGTACGACCTGTGGTACAAGGAATACAGGAAGGCAAAATAGAGGTTGCTCAAAACAGCACTAGGGCTCAAAATTAGAATTAAATTCAGTCTAACTCAACTTGATAGATGCATCTCAGAAGGGCTGATTATTAGTATTTCCACTTTTCTTAGTTTAGGATTTAGGTAAGTTCAATAGTTGGCAGACTGCAACTACTGTAGTGGTGTTGGGATAGGATTTCATGGTAATATTTGATTGGCATTCATCTGTGTGATGAAGTCACATAACTCCAATGTAATTCTGGAGATCAAAATTATGAAAGCATAATTGTATATTTTATTATCACTTTTCTAATCCGAGGTACATCTCTAATGCTTATTGCTTTTGATACAAGTTCAACGATTTCAGTGGTTTGACTTGGAGAAAAAAATGGCTAGTGGAAGAGAATTGATTTTTTTACAACAGGACAATCTGAAATTCCTTTTTAGGTTAATCAGAATTGTAGAATGTAAATGAAATGAAAAAGGACAACCAAAGTAGATTATTTTGGTTTACCTTCTCACCACCACTCAGAAGTGACACCTTTCTATCAAGCATGTCTGCCTTGAAATTGCAACGACCAAGAAGTCCCTTTATGTCATCAATTCTCCAATCTTCTGCAACTTCTTCCACTGTCTGAAGAACTGTTTTATCCAAATCGAGTGCCTCCGCCTGAAATCAGAGTATAAATTAATCATAAACAACACAGAGTGTTTAAAGAGTTATTCATCATGGATAATCCGAATAATAGATGTTTATCATCACTAATATTAACAAACCTGGTTCTGTTCAAAATAGTTTGGGAGAACATTGTGCTCCCCCATTATAACTTCACCTCCTCCTGGTTTCTCTAATTCCATAATGAGTTTAAGCAATGTACTCTTTCCACATCCATTTGGACCAATAATAGCAACTTTCTCACCCTTTTGAATTGAAAGGTTTGCCTTCTTGAAAAGAACCTGGCAAGAAATGAAAAGATATTAAAGGCAAAAACAAGGGAGAAAAATAATCAACACAAGGATAACACAAGATAACACTTGTATAGTGTTCTTTATGTTTAAAATATATTTCCCACCTTATCTTCATATCCAAATTCTAGATTCTTGATTGTTACTACAGATCTTCCACTTCTTCCACGCTCTGGGAATCTGATCTTCATTTGTTTCCGCTGGAATGGCTTCTCAACTTGGTCCTCATCTTGAAGTTTTTCCAGCTTCTGTTAGAAAAATTCGAAATATTGTTGGTATGAAGCAATAGATATTAAATCCTGTATTTCTAGAACGTAACACCTAAAAGTTAAAAGGAAAGCATTTCAGAAACCTTGATGTTTTGGAGATCTAAAGCAATTTTTATATGAGAATTGAAAAGGCAAACTACAAATTGGCAAATGATATATTCTTTTTATTATGCTGATATACCTTTTCTGCGGTGGATGCTCGGCCAGCATTTGCTCCTGCACTCAACCTGTTTATTATATCTTTTGTGTGCTCAATTTGCTTCTGCTGCTTCTCCCATGCAGCATACTGAGCTTCTATCCATGCTGCCTTAGCAATAACATACTGGGAATAATTTCCCTCATATGTCCTGGACACACCCATATCAGTTTCCACGATTTTTGTACAGAGCTGATCAAGAAAAGCTCTGTCATGGGATATGATGACCATTGGCACTCTTTGCTTGTTAAGATAAGCTTCAAGCCACTCAATTGTGTCAAGATCAAGGTGGTTCGTTGGCTCATCAAGAAGTAATAAATCTGGCTCCTGCAGGTGTTCATGTTTCATATTTTGTCATAAGTCAACTAATACCAACGCTTATACTCCAGTATAGCTTATACAAATCGTGTGCATTATCAAGTGAACAAAATCAAAGCTCAGAGTCCTTTACTTTTCACTTTAGTCATATGGATAATTTTGGTTAATATTAAGAAAAACAAAGAAGGAAAAAACTACCAGAAGTTCAGCTCATGTTCAAAATATTTACTAATGGTTCGCCTCTACATTGTTTTCTTAGGCTTAGTTTGGAAGAAGTGCATACAGTACAAATATATACAAAATAATAGAAAAACAAGGTTTTGCACTCTACATATTTGTATTTGTACTCCTTCCAAACTGAGCCTTGCAACAAATTCTGAATTACTTTAAATTAAAATATGAAGAAAGCAGCACTAAATGATTACGCAACAAATGCATGTATTGTAAGCATCCGAAAAACCTGATTCAGTGAATCAAACATAAATGCACCTGAAGAAGAATTTTTCCGAGGGACATCCTCATCTGCCAACCACTGCTGAATGATGCCACCAGCCGATCGGAATCTTCCATGGAGAATCCAAGCTCAGGCATCATCTTATTAATTTTCACTTCAACCTCATCTAAATCAATGGCCTGAGCTCGCCTCTGAAGTAAATCCAGTTCATCCAGAAGCCTGCCCATCAGCACCAAATCGTCCACCGAATTCTCAAGTGCCTTCTGAACCTTCTCTAACCTCTCCGCAATTTCCATCTCCTCCTTGAAAGCACTCATGAACTCCTCCTTAACTGTCCTGCTCGGACAAACCTCAAATTCTTGACTCAAGAATGCAATTTTCATGTTCGGTTTTGCCTTAATTACATTCCCAGAATCAGGTTCCTCCTGGCCCGTAATTATCCTCAATTGAGTTGTCTTTCCTGCACCGTTTACTCCAACTAACCCTACTTTCTCCCCTTTCTTCACTTCCCAGCTAACATCCTTCAGAACAGTCACCCCTTTATAGCTTTTACTAATGTTTTCTAACTTAACACCAGAAGAAACACTCGAAGCACCACCACTCGACTGTTTACTAATCCGTTTCTGCTGAGTCACATCCACAGAAGTCTCAGAGAACAGCGATTCTATATCTTCAATGGCGGTTTCGGCCTCCACTGTTGCCGTCGAGGCTGAAACTCCAAGATTTTTCTTCCTAGGGTTAAACACAAAATTAAGCTTAACTAAATCATCAGAACTTCGCCTGGTCTGGGTTAGAGACGCCGAAATGGGGCGAAAACGAGGTAGAACACTGGTTTTCCGAGCATCTAAAAGAGCTGAACCAGAGAGGAAACTCGATCGAAGATCGATGCACTGAATCTTACTCGCTAAATCCATGTTCGAAAACTGTAACCAACGACAATTCGAATGAAAAATGTATGGAAACTATCGATAAATAGGGGAAGGAGAGAGTTCGAACGAGGGAACTTTAGAACTGTAACGAATCAAGGAAAAGAATCAAGAGGTGGAAGATTAGTTAGAGGAAAGGAAAATGAGAAATGAAGGTGAATTAGGGCAATTCGAATTTCTCTCGAACTCCTCCGAGAGTTGCAGAGAAACTCCCCGCCCACTAGGGAACCATGAAATAGAGAAGAATAAAATGAAATGGGGATTTATAGCGGGCTATTGGAAATTCCCCTTTTTTTAGAAAAATGGAAATTCTAAAATGTATTGAAATGACACTTATTTCGTGCAAAATTACGAAATCCACTATTTGTCATGCCATTGACAATTTGAAAGACAAATCTGCCCTCATTGATGGACTCATTGGGCTACAAATCAAATATCAGCTGGCCCAGCCCATTTTATTCCTTTACTCTGCTTTACTTCTTAAATTCTTTTACAATAAAAACTTATTTTTGTCTGCCATTAAATGAGAAGAAAGCAAAACTTTTACTATAAAGAGGGTGAAAATAATAACTGAAATATTTTTGCTTGAAAGTATTTTATCCATTTTATGGAGAACAAGGCAGCCTAAAAATTTCTTTGTTAATTTTTTTATAAATTCTTTTCTATTTATTCCAAAATTTCAATTTCTACCACAATATTAAATTTGATTTGCAAAATTGTTCATATTCATTTCACATGTCCAAACCCATTTTTAGGTCATGCTTGGGAGTGCTTATGTTAAAAATAAATGCTTATTGAATAAGTGTTTAAAAACAAATGCTTATTCAAATAAGCACTTATTTGCATTTGGCACCCAATTTTTTCAAGGTGTTTGGTGGTCTTTTTCTCCAATAAGCACTTAAATAAGTAATTGTGACTCTTTTGTCCTTCATTTTTTTTTAAATTTTCAAAATATTCAATCCAAAATGAATGAATAAAAGTACTTTGGTAGAAGTGATTTTATAAGAGTACTTTTACAAAAGTGCTTTTATAAAAGTATTTTGATAAAAGTACTTCCGTAAAATACTTTTATAAAAGTACTTTTGTAAGTATTTTTATAAAAGTTTTTTCGTAAAAGTACATTCACAGAAGTACTTTCGTAAAAGTGGGTTTATAAAGTGCTTTCATAAAAGTGCTCTTATAAAAAGTACTTTTGTGAATGTGTTTTCTTAGTACTTTTGTAAAAGTGCTTTTATAAAAGTATTTTTATAAAATTACTTTTATAAAAGTGCTTTCGTAAAAATACTTTCATAAAAATACTTTTATAAAAGTGCTTTCATAAAAGTGCTTTCGTAAAAATGTTTTATTTTCGTAAAAGTACTTTTCATAAAATTACTTTTTATAAAAGTGTCTATAAAAATGTTTTTGTAAATGGGTATAATTGGTATTCTAAAAGTTCACTGGGGACAATTATGGGAGAAAAAATTGAATAAGTGCTTATCATATGAGCACTTAAAAAAACTGAAAATTTGGGCTTAAAAAATAAGCCCTTATTTTTAAAATAAACACTTATTTTAGGCTTATTTTCCAAACACCGATAAGTGCTTAATGGTGTGGTCCCCACCCAAATAAACACTTATTTCCAATAAGCACTCCCAAACATGGCCTTAGTTTGTTCTTCCCTTATTTTTGGAACAAATTAGTGTTATCTATAAGTTTTCTTATGCGTTTTTTCTTCTAATAAATCATTTGGCATAAGGAGGCGTGGAATCAAAGATTGACAAAAATACTTATATTTTTCATTTTTTATTTAAGTCTATAAATTAGATCCAAAGATAGAAAATAAGAGAAAAATAGAAAGTTATTAAAAAAACCTTTCATTTATTTAAAAAAATTGAGATAGGTTGGTAAAATATTATAAGCTACACGCTATTCTTGATGAGTCCAGATGACTTGCCAATAAAACATGTTCCAATCCTCTACCAACATAATCGCATACTGTACATCTCATACATGGCAGGTCCTAGTCTCACAATGAGATGTGTGGTATTAGATCAAGTTCATAGAGGGTTGGAACATGCTTTGTTGGCAGAAGATCTCAACTCAAACTTGATTTTGCAACAGCTTTAGAGATAAATGGGCCATTTCATAATGGCTGAATTGGTTAGCAGAATAGCTAAAATATTTAAGTTATGGTAATTATCCCAAACTATTATTCAGCCATTAAATAGCTCAAACCCTATCTAATGACTAAAAGCAACAAGAAAGCATACCCTTACTTTTCTTGGGAAACAACTCTGAGAAAAAAGTTGTGGACTTTTCTCATGGACTAAGATTTTATTTTCTTTCTTTATCAAAAAGGATTGTATTTTCTTTTTTTTTTTTGTTTAAGGAAAATCACATTGATTGGAAGAGTAAAATCAACAAGTTGATTTCTGGGCTTGTTGATATCTGAAGCAGACCAATTGTCTTCATGCTAGTCGAAAGGAGAGCCATTATTTGAAGCAAGGAAGATTATTTTATTGTTCTTTTTGCTAAGTAGCAAGGAAGATAAATTGAGCCTGCTCTATCTCCAAAGCACGTCCACATATTGGTATATACATCATACGTGTATGGCTGTATGCACATGAGGAATATCAGAGACTCCGATTTGTCGTTTGGTTTCGTGGTAGACTATCTCACTTGGTTGATAAGTTGGTATTATCTGAGAAGAAGGCATTTTTGTTATTTTGGTGAAGAGCAAGGACATTTGCTTCGCTGTGGGTGTCTGAGTTTGTGTGGCGGAGGCAACTAGAGTCTCTGTAGAGATAAGTTGGTTGTAGATAACGCGGGCCGCAGCTCAAGTCTTGTGGTGGTGATCGCGGGCAATCATAGGGCGACGATACTGCCCTCTTTCTCTGCCACGTGTGCTCTAATTGCAAGATTCTCCAACGGTCCACGAATAAGAAAAAGACAGAATTATCTCTAATTATTATATCTACAAATAATCTTTATCAAGAAAATAAGTGGAAAAGAATAAATAAAAGATCTGCTGTGCGCCTGTGCCTAAGTGGGCAATTGGGGAGACTCTCTGGACTCAAAACATCTGCAGGCAGAACTCAAAAGCAAAATTGAGACAAGTAAAGAGGCTAAAAGATATAATTATGGAGTTTGAACAAAAGTAAATTTCAAAAAATCAAGCATTGATTTCAGTATGTCCCATACTCAAAGGATATAGGCACTTACTTGGGTGCGAAGTTATAGTTTTCTAAAAATGTTTCATCTGACCATAAAAATTTGGTTGAAAGAATTCAAGCAATAACAGGCACTTGGAGAGCCAAATTGTTTTTTCTGGTAGCTCGTACTACACTTATAAAGCCAGTTGCACAAGCTGTTCCCCTCTACACTATGATCACTACAATGCTTCCTAAGACAATAACCACTACAATCGACAAAATTCAAAGAAGCTTTTGATGGCAAGGGTCATCCACCGGCAACACTCTACACAGTCTCATGGGCCAAATTTTGTTTGCCAAAATCAAGAGTTGGTCTGGGCTTCCGTGATACTCATTTGGTGAACAAGGCAATGTTTGGTAAACAAATATGAAGATTACTCTCCAATCTTGATTCTCTTTGGGCAAGTAATATACAAATTAAATACTTACACACTATCCCATTTAAAACCAAGCATAGTAGTTGGGCATCACCATGGTGGAGGCATGTTCAAAAGTTACTTAGGGACATTCAAGCTGACCTTCTGTGGTTAGTTCAAGATGGTACTCATATAGATACTTATTTTGATCCTTGGGCCCAACCATCAGAGGAGGCACTCCTTCCACCTTGCATCCACGGGTTACGAGTAATATCAAAGTAAGTCATTTTCTTAACTCCAATAGAATATGAAATCTTTCTCTATTTCAAAAATCATTTACCCAAGATTCAATTGAACATATTATACAAATAACATCATCCACAAGTGTTGACAAGCTAATTTGGAAGAGAAATAAGTTGGATGCTTATACCTTGCATCCACGGGTTACGAGTAATATCAAAGTAAGTCATTTTCTTAGCTCCAATGGAACATGGAATCTTTCTCTATTTCAAAAGTCATTTACCCAAGACTCAACTGAGAATATTATACAAATAATACCATCCACAAGTGTTAACAAACTAATTTAGAAGATTATTAGGTCATTTAAGTTTTTTTTTTTCAAAATTTAAAAGAACCTATGAGAAAACCTACTATCCACTAAAAGCCTCATCTCAGCTGAGGATCTAGGTCGTACCCAACTGTATGAAGCCGACCCAACTTGTATACTCTTTCGTCTGATTGACAAGTAAATTTACCACTTGAACTATGAACTATCATAGCATCGCAGTAGTACAGTGTATATAAATGAAACATGTAGATCCAAGGGGATGGCACTTCCACCAAATTGGGCTTTGATATTATAATCTTATTCTCCCAATTAAACTCAGTTCAATCCAACCTTAAATTGGGCCGGGATTGGGCACAAGCATTTATGTATTATGTGCAATACATGCCGAAGGAGACATGTACATTGACCACTGCTTTGGATTTGTTTTCGAAGAAATTTGATGCAAGATGCAACCATCCATCTAGTTTCTCCCCTACGTATATGGAATGTAACATAATTAAATATCGAATTCAGTGAAGATGAGAAAACCTTCAAATCTGATCCACCCAACCTAAATAGGGCCGGCCCAAGTGTTAGGGTTTATTTCTCTGAGCCATATAGAAGGATATGTTTGACCACTTCTGTTATGGGCCCGTGCGTAGGATCTCGTCATGGGTCGATCCACCGGGAGAGACTCCTGTCTTCCCTTGCCTTTGCCTTTGCGTACAGACCCTATTGTGGCAATCGCGTGGGTGATTTGTCCAAGAGATCACCCGAACTCTCCTAACACCTTTCTTGGTTGAAAACTGAGTGCCTTTACTTCAATTTGTAGCTCCTTAAATAGGAGATTATAGAGGAAAACTCCTTGTTGGATTCGGCTAGGCTAGGTAATCCAACTTAACTCAAACTCCTAATTACCGACTCCTAATGGTAACACAACTCTTAGATAAGATAAGATAAGATAAGATAAGGATAAGGGATGAGGAATGGAGTAGCTGGTGGTGAATTGGCAAGGCTGATGTGGTAAGATAAGTGTGGACCCACCTTGATGAGCTGTCGTGTGGGTTCCGCCCTACTGCTGCTGCCATGCGGTGTGTGCTACACGCTGCCAGGCGGTGGGTGCTGTGCGCTGC